CCCCCTCCAACACCAGCGGCACCCCCAGAAGCCGCAGGACGAACACCCTCCTCCACACCAGCACCCCCAGGGGCCGAGAGCAGCGGCGGCAGTGGCGGCAACGGCTGCGGCGGCGGCGACAGCGGCGACGGCTGCGGCAGCGACAGCGGCGGCGGCGGCGACGACAGCGGCGACGGCTGCGGCGGCGACGGCGACGGCGGCGGCAGCGGGGTCGGCGACTGCGACAGTGGGGGCGGAGGCACCGGGGAAGGGGGACGCTGCAAGGACGGACCGGGGGTACCACCAGAGTCAGCAGACTCCTCAACGGGGACAACCGACGGGAGGGGAGTGACGTGGGAGACACCAGACGGGGCAGGACGAGGCGGGAGAGGGGCAGGGGCTACCGGGGGAGAGGGAGCAAGGAAAAGGGGGGGGGCAACTGGGAGACCTCGGTGAGGGAAGCGGCGGTAGAAGGAGACGGACTCGTCAAAGGTGACGTCACGAGAGTGGAGGAAGCGGTGAGACGGCGGGTGGTAGAAAAGCCAGTCAGACGAGTCCAGGGGGAAACCGAGGAAGACACAGGGGACAGTGCGGGCAGTGAGCTTGTCCGTGCCAGAGGCACGAACGTGAGCAAGGCAGCCCCAGACGTGGAACGCAGACGCGTCACCGGGGGACCCGGTCCAAAGGAGGGTCGGCGAAACCTGCGGCCGCTGGGAGCGTGGCCACAGGTTAAGCTGGTGAGCCGCGTAGCGAACAGCGAACGGCCACAGAAAATGGGGGGCATCGGCATGGATCATGGAGGTACGGGCGACCTCCATGACCAAGCCGATGCGGCGCTCAGCAACCCCATTCTGCTGTGGCGAGTCCGGCAACATGTACGACTGGGTGATGCCCTCCGCACGACAGAACTGTCCAAGCCGACCAGAGGCGAACTCGCCGCCACGGTCGGAGTGGAGACACAACACGGGGAGACCGCGGTGGAGACGCGCAGCCACAACCCACGGGAGAAGAACGTCGGGCACGTCGGCCTTCCGCTCCAGGGGAAACACCGTGGTGTAGCGCGTGTAGTCGTCGACGAGCACAAGGAAGTAGCGCTCACCGCGCGGTCCGGGGACGGGGGCAGGGCCCCAAACGTCCAAGTGCAGGGTCTGAAGGGGGGCAGTAGCAGGACGCAGCGAGGAGGAGTGAGGAGCACGGCGGAGCCGACCCTCGACGCAAGGCGTGCACGGTGGCGCAGTCGAGGGAGGAAGGGCAGGGAGCGACGCGGGGAGACCTAAGACAAGACCGTGCTGGGACATGTGACGCAGACGCGGGAGAGCAGGGTGACCTAAGCGGTGGTGCCAGAGAAGGGAGGGGTGAGTGAGGGACCGACACGAGCAAGTTGCAGCGACCTGGGAGGACGCACCAACCGGGGGGGAAGCGGTGTGTAGGGTAAACAGACCGGACACCGGGTCCCGGGGGAACGTCGCAAGGGGGGAACCTGAGACAGCCTCAGAACAGACAGCGAACCGCTCGTGCCCGGGGAACGTGGTGGTGACGCCGAGGTCCTGGAGACAGCCGACACCAACCAGGTTCCTGGAGAACGAGGGAACGTGGAGGCCAGTAAGGGAGCCCGAGGGAACTGCCGGACAAGGAAGGGACGTAGAACTGCGCGCGACGACCGGACCCGCAGAGGGGTCAGCGAGAGAGACAACAGCAGGTGCAGCAAGCGGCGTGAGCGTGGAACGGTCGCGGAAGAAGCAGGCAGAAGCACCAGAGTCGAGAGTGAAGGACAGCGACGCAGTGGCGGAGGCCGGGGACGGAGCCGGTGCAGCGACTAGACTAGGCAACCTAGGCAGTCCTACGCCTGTCGCAGCAGGGGAAGCTAAGCTACACAAGGGTGAAACACCTAAACTAGAGTACACAGGGTAGTAAGATCCAGCAACACTAGAAGCGTCAGCATACAAAGCATGCAAAGCAGCACCTATCTGATCCATGTCTAACTCAAAGATCGGCACGCCCTGGCGGAGTAGGCTGTGCCAGTCAGGGAGGTCCGGGGCCGGGCCAAAGCGACGACGAAAAAGATCGTCGAGGCGGCGGAAACAGCAGGCGGTCGGGTGCGGGCGGCGGCACAGAGTGCCGCGGAGAGGCCCGGTCTGAAGCTGGTACTGGCAGGTCACAGCACTGGAGCCGCTGGTAGACGCCAAGCTGCGCGGGCCGCCACCACGGCCACCGCCTCCGGAGGTGCCGGGCCAACCAGGCGGGAGACGAGCCCACGGCTGCGGCGGGTGCTGCTGGGACGGCGGCTGCGGCTGGGGCTGGTCCTGCTGCTGCTGGGGCTGCTGCTCCTGCCCACCGGTGGTAGTCCCCTCAGGCGGACTACCGTCACCACCACCACGACCACTACTACCTGCGTCACCACCCCTACCTCCCTGGCGGCCACGGCCACCGCGACGCGAGCGCTGCTGCGGGTGGACAGCAGCAGCCGTCTCGGTAAGAGGGGTCGCCGTGGCGACCGCAGCCGAAACGTCAGTGAACGTGCACTGGGATGGGGCACAGCCGTGAAAGATAGAGACTGCCGGCGCACCGCTCGACTGAGCGATAGTGCGCTGGCGAGTCTCGATCTCAGTGAGGGTGTCGACAAAGGCGATCAGGGTGAGGTCACCCGGGTGCTGGCTAAGAAAGTGGTCGCGAGCACTAGCGAGGCGGTCTGGCAGGCGCATAGCGATAAAATAGAGCGTCATGCAGAAAGGAGGGGGGAGCGCAGTGAGCTGGGCAGCAGTGCTGGCAGTGCGATAGCGAGTCTCTAGGGCACGCAAATGAGTGGCAAAGTCTGCGACAGTAGGGAAGGCAGCCAGGTCTGGGAAAAGCATCGGAAAGAGCAAGCGGCCAGCAGAAGCGGAGGCAGGGGTGGAATAGCGAGCAATAACGGCGTCTAAATAAGCTTTGGCCGTTTCAACAGTAGCAAAACGCGAGCGCTCAGACACAGGGAGGGCGTGACTAATAGCAACCTGAGCTATTGCATCGCGTGAGTCCCAGACCGCACAGGCCAGCGCAGCAGTAGAGAAAGCCTCACGGTCATCAGAGGAGGGGTCAGCAGGGAGGGGAGTAGGTGCAGGGGGACGGGGGAGCAAGCCATCAGCATGGACAACCAGAGAGTGGCCATCCTGGCGCTGACCTGTAAGCTGGCGGCGGAGATCGGAGAGCCAGGCGGCGAAGTCAACCGCGTGGCCCTCAGCGTCCAGGCGGAGCACAAAGTCAGCCATCGTGCAGGGTCAGCGGCACAGCTCCTCAGCGACACAGCGGCACAGCAGCACAGCTTAGCGGCACAGGAGCACAGCGGCGCGGGGACACGGCGGCAGCACTCTCCAGTAGGGCAGCAGCTAGGCGTCCCAGCGCAGGCGAGCAGAAGACACAGGGCCCGAGAGGACACGGCAGGCCGAGCAGGGGAGGCGGGCAGGTGCTCTGGGGCCGGGCTGGTGCTGGGAGGGGCCAGGCTGGTGCTGCTGGGGCCGGTCGGGCACGAGGAGGGGCCGGGCAGCGCTGAGGAGAGGCCGGGCGGCGCTAGGAAGGGGCCGGGCGGCACTAGGAGGAGGCCGAGCGGCACTAGGAGGCCAGGCAGGCGAGCGCTAACAGCAGGCGCGACAGGGGCCAGCGGGCGCGACGAGGCCTAAGGGGCGCGACGGGGCCCAGCGGGCACGACGGGGCCCAGGGGGGGCGCGACGGGGCCTAGCAGGCGCGACGGGGCCTAGGAAGCGCGAAGGGGCCCAGCGGGTGCGACGGGGCCTAGGAGGCGCGACAGGGCCCAGCGGGCGCGACGGTGCCAGAGGGGCGCGACGGGCCTAGGAGGCATGACGGGGCCCAGCGGGCACGACAGGGCCTAGGAGGGGCGCGACGGGGCCGAACGGGCGCGACGGGGCCCAGAGGGGGGGGGACGCGACGGGGCTTAGGAGGCGCGACGATGCCTAGGAGGCACGACGGGGCTCAGCGGGCTCGACGGGGCCCATGGGGGGCGCGACGGGGCCTAGGAGGCGCAACGGGGCCCAGCGGGGGCGCGTTAGGGCCTAGGGGTCGCGACGGGGCCCAGCGGGCGCGACGGGGCCCAGGGGGAGCGCGACGGGGCCTAGGAGGCGCGACGGGGCCCAGCGGGCACGACGGGGCCCAGGGGGGGCGCGACGGGGCCTAACGAGCGCGACGGGGCCCAGGGGGGGCGCGACGGGGCCTAGGGGGCGCGACGGGGCCTAGGAGGCGCGACGGGCGGAAGCGGTAGGCGGGGGGGTCCTAACCTAAGCGTGATACCATGTTAACGTAGAAACGAATGATTACTAGAGGTGGAAACCTAGAACAAATACTAGTTGGTTGTACTCACTAGAAGCATACCTCAGTCTAGCCTATAATTTCTACATAGATAATATGTATAAGTTGACAGGATCAACCAAAGGATAATGGAAGAATGGAGAATAGGAAACCAAATGAGATGAGATAAAAAGAAGAATGAAATAGGAAGGAGATAAGAATAGGACAAGTGGTGTAACGGGGTCGTACTCTCACATTCGGTCTTCAGTTCTCCTCTGCACAACCCACACCTCTGCCAGTAGATCACATGCTCTTGGCTCAAGTCCATGAGGAGTCTGTAGAGCCCACTCAAGCTCTCCTCTCACGTGCTCTATCGCGATTCGCGACCTCATTTCGACGCGTGAATTTGTTCAAGGACCAATAACGCCTCTTACACGTGCTCCACCATGCAGAGTTGTGGGGGGGTCGGTCTGTTTCAGGCCTCAAACTCGTTATGGCTGATTGATCAGGGTACACGAAACAAGAACGTACTAAAAGTCAGGCCTAGCAAAATAAGAGCCCCTAAGAATCAGGACAAGGGAAAACCAAAACCTGAAAAAACAGGCCGACCCCTGGAAAACATGCTGATATACAGGCCTTCAGGCATTTTTGGCCTGACTTCTGAGGCCCTAGTTGTTAAAGTAAGCTAGGATCTAGGTAGGAGGGAAGCCATAGAAATGGCGAGAGGTTTTAGGTTAGGAAAGTTGAGGAGAGAAACGGGAGTCGAGAATAGAAGAGAGGCATACAAGGAGGGGGGTTGTACTCTCTACAGTAGGTTTCAGTAACACCTACCAAGCCTACCAATTATATAACAAAATGGTTTGAACAAACTGCCGCGCGGCTCGGGAAATACGTGCAGACAGACGAAGGAACAAACTGCCGTAGGTCGTAGGAATGCACCCTTAGCTCCATCCTCCAATCTGGCTCCTCCACACCCCCTTACCCTTCCCCCTACAGTAACCTCACATTTACCCCCTACCAATCCACTGTATCAAAACAGCTACATGCAGCAATCCACTCCACGGAATCCCCTTGGATCTGCTCTATCACATCGTCAGGCTCCCGGGATGTGTCACGTGAGCCCATGCCATGCCAGGAGCCCTCATGCATCGGTGCACCTGGCCTCTGAGTGAAGCTCCTTGGAGGATTTAGGGCGCGTTCCCATGTTGCACCTCCACCTCCTTGGCTGTATCCTCGTCAGCCTTGAAAGGCGGTTCCAGTAGCTTCTCATTAACTCCCTTCAAATCCACTGTAGCAGCGCTGCTTCTCGCACCAATCCATGCCACAATATCCGCTATCACCTTCTCGATTACATCGTCAGGCTCCCCAGATGTGAGCCCGTGCCAGGAACCCTCGTAGATCTTGAGTGTCTTGTCGGTGCTGCTGGCCTCTGAGTGCAGCTCCTTGGAGAGAGCCGGGTCTGTTACCACGTCCCCGCTGCCGTGCAGAATGAAGCACGGCAGGGAGAGCTGGGGGGGCGGAGGAGAGGAGGGGGTGGATGGAATAGATTTGCGCATGTGTTGAGGACGACATGCCTTGAGGCTGCCTGTCCCCTGGAAAAAAAGAAACTTGAAGATAACTCCATTGGCCAATGAATCACAGAGGCCGAGGATGATGGCCCATATAACCATGCATTCACCTCACTGTCTGCTAGCAGGTGATGACACGATTGAAGCAGGCCCCCTCAGAACCATAGTTCTGGAGGTTGGGGAGCTCCCCTCATAACTGACCCCATGTTTCTGGTTACCGATGACTAGGCCTTTCGACTCACCTCCTTCATTCGGCTGCCGATCTCCTGAGTGGTTCGCAGCAGCGACACGGCAGTGCCCACTCGAGAAAGCCCTCTCAGCGACATCGGATTTTGATGGGCCTGAGTGAGGGTTTGGGGTTTAGAGTTTGGGGGGGAGAAAGCGATAGGTGGATGGGTCAGACGGGCCTGCTCAGGCAACCCTCCCTGGCGCCCAGTGCCCACACGGGAACGTCCTCTCAGAACCATTGGATTTTAATGGGCCTGATGGGAGGGCGGGGTAACAAAGTTGAGGGATGAGCGGGCATGGGGGGGAGAGGTGGAGGTATAGGATGGGCGTGCTAAGGCTGCCTCACTAGTGCGTATGCTGCCTGCTTTACTGCGGCGAGCACATGGTAACCAGCTTGACTGTGGGGACCACATGGTAACCAGCTTGACTGCAACGAGCACATGGTAACCAGCTTGAGTGTGGGAACCACAGGGTTGAGCGCCAAAAGTGTGAAAGCAACACAAACGTGCGCAAGGATCCCTGATCAAGGCTCTCTTATTATTAGCCCTCTTTTGGCTCGCCGGGACTCCCATCCCGAGGTCACTGATGTCATTGCCTGGCACCAGCTTGAGCCTGGCACCAGCTTGAGCCTCGCACCAGCTGGAGCCTCGCACCAGCCTGAGCCTGGCACCAGCTTGAGCCTAGCACCAGCTTGAGCCTCGCACCAGCTTGAGCCTCGCACCAGCTTGAGCCTAGCACCAGCTTGAGCCTAGCACCAGCTTGAGCCTAGCACCAGCTTGAGCCTAGCACCAGCTTGAGCCTAGCACCAGCTTGAGCCTAGCACCAGCTTGAGCCTGGCACCAGCTTGAGCCTGGCACCAGCTTGAGCCTGGCACCAGCTTGAGCCTGTCACCTTCACTGAATAACTCGAGCCACTCTGGATAAGCGTTTTCACTCACCCTCTTCCTGTTGGTGAGGTCTCTCATGCCGATGTCACTGATGTCCTTCCCCGGCACCATCCTGACCTTGGGAATCACGTGGTTGAGCGCCAGGAAGGCCGACACCACCACTGGGGGTGGCATCAGCTCATCTGCTATCTGGAGAGTATAGAGGGGTGTGATTTTATGGGGAATCATTAGATGGGCCACGATCACAGGTAGCAAAGGACGGGATGGCTGACTCCACCACTGGGGGCGGCATCAGCTCGTCTGCTATCTGGAGAGTATAGAGGGGTGTGATTGTATGGGGGAATCATTAGATGGGCCACGATCTCTGGTGGCAAAGGACGGGATGGCTGACACCACCACTGGGGGCGGCATCAGCTCGTCTGCTATCTGGCGAATACATACAAGTATGGTACCGGGGCGGTGACTAGAGAGAAAAGATGGTTAGGGCGTGTGTGATGTTACGAATTTGTCACAAGTGTGTACTGTCACCTCTCTGTACCATGGTTTCGCTTTACTGCACCCTACCGATTTAACCGCTCTAAAAGTTCAAACTGGAGGCTTGTTCGAACCCCAACTCACACGTTCTTAAAGCACCAAAGTGCAACACCGGCACTGCTGACAGACACTACCACTGGGGGCAGCATCAGCTCCGCCGCTATCTGGTGTATATAGCGCGGGTGGTAGTGCAGTGCAGAGAGGATGCTTATGAGTGCCAAAGGAAGGCACGGCTGCTGAAATGTGTGTCCCCGGTCCTTGCGCTTCATTCATTTTCATATGGTTACCACGGCAATACCTTGCACATAGGTGGCATACCTTTCACAGTAAATACCCATGGATACCATATGGTAACCCCATGGTTACCACATGGTAACCACCAATGGGAGATATACCTTGCACATGGGCGAGAGGAAGACGCCGCCTCGGAAGGCGTCTGGGCGGCGCCAGTGCGTCTTGATGGCCACTGCGCCGCCCATGGACTCGCCGTACAGGAAGACGGGAAGAGAGGCGAGGGCAGGAGAGGCTGGTGGGGGTGTGAGGGAGGGAAGGGCAAAACGAATGGAGAGGAAAGGCGGTGAAGAGAGAGACGCAGTGAGTTTTGATGGCCACTGTGCTGCCCATGGACTCGCCGTAGAGGAAGACTGGCACGGAAGTTAGGGCCGGTGATGCTGAGAGGAAAGAAAAATAGAGAGGCAGGGAGGGCGGTGAATTGCAGTCCATGGGTCTTGATGGCCGCCGCGCCGCCCATAGAGGAAGACAGGCAGGGAAGGTAGAGAAGGTGAGGGCAGGTGAGGGTGAGAGCAAAAAGGGAGAGTGAAGAAAGGGCAGGAAGGAAATGATGGGAGAGGCAGTGCGTCTTGATGGCCGCTGCGCCGCCCATAGAGGAAGACAGGCAGGGAAGGTAGAGAAGGTGAGGGCAGGTGAGGGTGAGAGCAAAAAGGGAGAGTGAAGAATGGGCAGGAAGGAAATGACGGGAGAGGCAGTGCGTCTTGATGGCCGCTGCGCCGCCCATAGAGGAAGACAGGCAGGGAAGGTAGAGAAGGTGAGGGCAGGTGAGGGTGAGAGCAAAAAGGGAGAGTGAAGAAAGGGCAGGAAGGAAATGATGGGAGAGGCAGTGCGTCTTGATGGCCGCTGCGCCGCCCATAGAGGAAGACAGGCAGGGAAGGTAGAGAAGGTGAGGGCAGGTGAGGGTGAGAGCAAAAAGGGAGAGTGAAGAAAGGGCAGGAAGGAAATGACGGGAGAGGCAGTGCGTCTTGATGGCCGCTGCGCCGCCCATAGAGGAAGACAGGCAGGGAAGGTAGAGAAGGTGAGGGCAGGTGAGGGTGAGAGCAAAAAGGGAGAGTGAAGAAAGGGCAGGAAGGAAATGACGGGAGAGGCAGTGCGTCTTGATGCCGCTGCGCCGCCCATAGAGGAAAGACAGGCAGGGAAGGTAGAGAAGGTGAGGGCAGGTGAGGGTGAGAGCAAAAAGGGAGAGTGAAGAAAGGGCAGGAAGGAAATGATGGGAGAGGCAGTGCGTCTTGATGGCGGCCGCGCCGCTCATTGACTTGCCGCACAGGAAGCCCGGAAGAGAGGCGAGTGCAGGTGAGAGCAGGTGAGGCGGGTGAGGCAAGGGGAGAGAGGACAGAGAGACAGACATCCGCCAGGCATCAACACAGGAAGGAGAGGTGAAGGGAGTGGTGGTGAGCATTGGCGAGACTTGGTAGTGGTAGCAAGGGGGATTGCGAGTGCGCCGCTCATAGGCTCGTTTTACCGGAAGACCGGGAGAGAAGAGAGGGCAGGTGACGCTGAGGTGGGGGGGAAGGGAAGGGAAGGGAAGGGAAGGGAAGGGAAGGGAAGGGAAGGGAAGGGAAGGGAAGGGAAGGGAAGAGACAGGAAGGGGGATGAAAACACAGCAGAGGGACGTTGATGTGCACTGCGCCGCCCATGGACTCGCCAGAGGAACCCAGGCAGAGAAGAGATGGCAGGCGAGGCTGGGAGGGATGGGAACAGAAGAGGCGGGAGGCAATGAGGGCGCGGTACAATGCGTCCGGATCACTTTCCGAACCTCATAGAACACCATGTCCTACCACATTTACAACCGTTTGTACTGCACAAAACCCTCTCCCAACCCATCAATTGATCTGTACCAGGATCAATTTCGACCAAACGGACGCAATGTACCGCGTCCTGAGTTGGCTAGGCAGTACGTCTTGATAGACACTGTGCCGGGCGTAGACTCGCCATAGAGGAAACCAGGGCGAACCAACCAACAGGCAGGTGAGGAAGTGGGGGGGAAGATGCGAACGACTAAGGATGCTGCTACTGGGACACATCGATGTGTTTATAGCACACTCAACCTGTAACACATCAGTGTATTTATAGCGCACACAACCTGTAACACATCAGTGTATTTATAGCACACTCAACCTGTAACACATCAGCGTATTTATAGCACACTTAACCTGTAACACATCAATGGATTCATAAGACACTTACCTCGCAACGCATCGGTGAATTCAACCACATCATCAATGACGGTGTCGAATCGGGGGATGTATGCATGCAGCCCCTGCGAGCACCCATGGCCCTCGTAGTCCATGCCATACACCAGGTACTGCTGCTGCGCCATGCGCACTGCCACGGCTGGTAGTCATGCACACACACATGAGAAAAAAGGGTGAGAAGTGGGGGAGGGGAATTACCCACGCTGCCAGGCACCCCCTCGTAGTCCATGCCATAGACCACGTACTGCTGCTGCGCCATGCGCACTGCCACGGCTGCGAGAGACAGAAACAGATGAAGGGACGGGGAGGTGTGTGAGAGAGAGGGGGGAACGAGGGTGTCAAGGAGATAGGTAGTGACGTGGAAAGCACCCATGGTCCTCATAGTCCACGCCGTACACCAGGTGCTGTTGCTGGGCCGTGCGCACCGCCACAGCTGATAGCCATGCACACATGCATGAGACAAAAGGGTGAGAAGGGGGGCAGGGCAATTACCCAGGCACCCCCTCATAGCCCATGCCATGTTCAAAATTACGGTTTTCGAAAAATACGGTCCGTAAATTACGACCGTTTTTTTCGGGCAGTTTGGGAAAAAAACGGCGTAATTTAAATAGAGCACATGGTTTTTTTTTTCGAAGGGGAATGGCTCCTTTGCGGTTTCAACGTCAACTGAATGCTTAGTAATGAACCATGGCACCTATAAACATGGAAATCTGGAGTTGCTAGGCGGCTTAGATTCCAGCCAGAAAAACGCTCCAAACTACGTCCTGTGGTAGCTAAGAGAATGTCGTCTGTATCTCACACACTTCGAAGTTGTGTTGGGAAAGGCTTTGAAGAGAACCAAAATCCATTGGGTTCTGTTTTTGAAACACGCTTCGACAGGGTGGTTTCGCAAATTGCGCGAGACCACCCTACTCGGCGCGAAATAACCAACGGGTTTCGCAAAGGGGGGGGTTCTTTCATAACGGCACAAGAAAATTTTGGTAAAATGCGTGACTCGGGGTTCGGGTGAATTCGCGCTTCGGAAAACGTTGACTTATGAACATTTCGGGGTGCGCGTGTACCCCCATCCCCAAAATTCTGGTACGGAATTCGAGATTCTGAATGTACACTACAGATTAAAAAAACGGCCGTAAAAAACGGCCGTTTTTTTTAACCAACCCAAAAAGGGTGATTTCGAGCCGTAATATTCGTATTATACGGCCGTAAATTACGAAACCGTAAAATACGGGCTAAAAATATAAAAAACGCCGTAATTTTGAACCCACGAGGTACTGCTGCTGGACCATGCGCGCTGCCACAGCTGACAGAGGGCGGGCATGAAGGAAGGGAGACAGGAAGTGTGAAGTGAGCACCCCCTCATAGTCCATGCCATACCCCAGGTACTGCTGCTGGGCCATGCGCACTGCCACAGCTGACAAACATAAACACGTGAGGGAAGAAAGGGGAGGGGAGGTAAAGGGGGGGCCGCGGGTTTTGAAGTAAGTCAAGAACAGCCACGACTAACAGCAACTCACACGATTGGAGTAAGTGAAGCGAGGGCATGGGGTGAGGATGAGGGAAGAGTGCGAAGTTGAGAGTGGATCGGAACATGACCATGTGGGGATGTGGGGAAGCAAAGTGGCAAATACTAGGCAATTAGGTCGCCGCAGCATGCATACAAGCATGCATACAAGCAAGCATGCATACAAGCATGCATACAAGCATGCATACAAGCATGCATACAAGCATGCATGCATGAACCCTGAACGTCCCATCCACGCATGTGATGTGAGTTGACATGCATCTCCACATCACTCCTACCATCAAAGTGGTACGTGCATGCGTTTCAGCATACATCCCCCACACATACCATCAAAGTGGTACGTGCACGTGTCGCCATATCCATGGCAGTATACCACGATGCCCCTCACCACCCCATCCAACGGCTGCCATCGCTTCGTGAAGATCTCAACGCCTCTGCTGTTGCGGTAGTACACCTGTGCTGGTTGTTACGTATGAAGTGGGTGTAGTAAGAAATACGAGTAAACATAAAAAGGGATAACACAGATCACTGTAGATATGAATGTGTGTAGAAACGAATGCAACTTTAAACGAATGTGGGGGTTCAGTTTCCCTAAGGTGGGTACTCTTTCCTCCGTTTTACATACACCACCAACTATACAGCATGCATGATGCATTAGTACAGAACATGATGTGTGCATGTTGTGGGGAAACGAATGCAGGCTGCAAACCACAGCAAGATGAGCAGATGACAGCCGTGGCAAGAGCACCTGTGGCAAGAGCACCCGTGGCAAGAGCACCCGTGGCAAGAGCAGAGATATGTTCCTCTCACCTCCACGCACTTGACCCCCTTTGACTCCTGAAAGGCAAGAGCACAGCGACATGCCCATGTTGCATGTTGCACGCACAGAGGAAAGCATGGAGCAGCGGGTCAGGAAGGATGGGGCATGTGGGGCATGTGGGGCATGTGGGGCATGTGGGGCAACACTGAAGGTGCGGCAGTATGTAAATGAGTCGTCCAGAAAACTGCAGCAGCATAGATAAAACACCCACAGGCTTTAAGAACGACACAGTGCAATAGAACAGGCTTCAGACGAGGCATGCAAGGGTTTACGTGTCAGCACCCACAAAAAACGACCGGGGCTTTAAAAACAGCAAGATGGCCTTGCACCTGCCTCCCTCCCACCCCACAAACTAAAATCAATGCAACAAGAGAGAAAGGTATGCGAAGGAATACATGTGATGTGATCACTGACATAGTAAGACTGGGGCTTTAAGAAGGGCACAATGGCCTTGCGCCGGCCTCCCTCCCACTCCACAGGAGACTTGGTCTGCTCCCAGTACGCCCACGCGGCCCCTGCTGCCACCAGCGCTGCAGGTATTAGTGGCCACATCTGGTAGGCAACGGAGAGAGCAGGGGCAAAAAAGGGGATTCAGAAAGCCCACCACGTGCACCGCCCGTCTCCCCCTGCCACCAACGCTGCTGGTATTAGTGGCCACATCTGGTAAGAGGTGGGAGGGGGGCACGCGGAAGAGGGCTTTAAGACACCTCAAGAAAGGACACCTAAACCCTCCTTCCTCACTCTGCGGTGGAGCTGGTTTGAGCCCAATACGCCCACGCGCCCCCCGCTGGCCAGGCAACAGAAAGAGCGGGGAGAAGGGGACAACTGCGCGGATTTAGAGAGCCCAATACGCCCCCGCCCTGCCCCCGTCCCCCCCCCTCCCCCCTCCCCCCTCAACCCCTCCCCAGCACGCTGGCACCAGCGCTGCCGGGACCAGCATGTGTGAAGGAGAGAGGGCCATTCCTTCCGAATCACACGCATGACCTGGTCGCTCGCTCTCCACTGAGATACGGTAGATAGCAGCAAGCTCGGTAGATAGCAGCAAGCTCGGTAGATAGCAGCAAGCTCGGTAGATAGCAGCAAGCTCGGCAGATAGCAGCAAGATCGGTAGATAGCAGCAAGCTCGGTAGATAGCAGCAAGCTCGGTAGATAGCAGCAAGCTCGGTAGATAGCAGCAAGCTCGGTAGATAGCAGCAAGCTCGGTAGATAGCAGCAAGCTCGGTAGATAGCAGCAAGCTCGGTAGATAGCAGCAAGCTCGGTAGATAGCAGCAAGCTCGGTAGATAGCAGCAAGCTCGGCAGATAGCAGCAAGCTCGGTAGATAGCAGCAAGCTCGGTAGATAGCAGCAAGCTCGGCAGATAGCAGCAAGCTCGGTAGATAGCAGCAAGCTCGGCAGATAGCAGCAAGCTCGGCAGATAGCAGCAAGCTCGGCAGATAGAAGCAAGCTCGGTAGATAGCAGCAAGCTCGGTAGATAGCAGCAAGCTCGGTAGATAGCAGCAAGCTCGGCAGATAGCAGCAAGCTCGGTAGATAGCAGAAAGCTCGGCAGATAGCAGCAAGCTCGGCCTTGCGCTCTCACCAACTCTCGACGGATGGGTGGTTCTTACTATCGCGAGCGCGTGTGATGCACGCATCCTCCCAACCCGCAATACGTTACACCGCATTGCACCGCATTGCGTTACATTACACACCACGGCAATCATTTGCGTCATCCTCTGCTTCTCTATGCACTTCGCGTTAACCCATGATCGCGCCTCGCGTCGTCTCCAGTGCCTCGTACTTAACCTCCCTCGTCGCCCGTTCGTCGGACGCTTCAAGAATAGTCTCTCAGTGCATCTCGCCTCACTTTACCTTACATACCCACCGCATTCCACCCTCTCAGACCCATCCGGTGCCACTCACTAGCTTCACGAGCGTCGAGACGCGAAGACCCCAAAAGCCGCGCTTCGAAAGACCGGCAGAATGTAACGAAAGCCGCCACAGCAGCTAGATGCTGTCTGATTCAACTTCCACCGACACGTCGCAACGTCGCGAGGCGCAATGAAGTTTGGGGTTCGCTGCGAGCGGAAGAGAAGCATGTACGTGGAACTCCTCTAACGCAGGTCGCTTGGCTCGAGTTCTGACTCAGATTGGCGGTCTTGGATTGTGTGGGGGAATGCGGACAAAATCCGTGAGTCCATAGTTTTTCGCATCTGGCACGAGCGGGAAAATGTAGGGCTGTGGGCGTTCTGAAAGCTACAGCATTTTTGCATTCGAGAATTGTAGTTCAAATATTGAACGGGTATGTAGTGCTACGGATATACTAATATATTGGGCTTACATGGCGGGATTCAAAACATCCTCATACATCTTGTGATGTATGTGTTGTGTTTTCGATAACTATGCAGTAAAGTCTGCTGAATTTCTTATCACAACTGCTAGGCATTTCTTCTTACTGGTACCATGTCCTTGCTTGTTCCTCCATCAACTATAGGGAACACAACACATCAGCATTAGGCCAGAATGCTTCGGATTTTAATATAGGAAAGGGTACAATATGGCTTTTAATATAGGAAAGGGTACAATATGTGGGAAAGTGATTTAACACAGTGGATCCTGTCCAGTTGACTGCCAGTCCCATCTATACCGAGATGGTACAGGAAGCATGACTGACGGTCAACTGCGGATCACCTTCTCTACCTCCTTTGGCTCTATGGTAATATTTCGAACTTACCATACTACCCACAGTAGGTAGATATTAGGTACTGTAGCCTACTTCTTGGGCATCTTAGTGTAATTTGGAATGAGGACCTTATCCACGCCATGGGCAATGAAGTACGGCCCGGCATACAGCCTCGCGATCTTGATCGTCGTCCACGTGGCAGGGGGCGCATATGGGCCCTTAGCGAACGACACTGTATTGCCGTTCTGAGGCGTAACCTTGTAAAGGGCCTGCCTTAATTGAGTGCCCAGCGGCTGCGACTTCTTGAGGGCCTTGAGCGGAGGGACAGTGAGCTTCTTGCGGATGATGTGGTACGCGGTGATGTTGTAGATGACGGGAATGTTGCTGCTCTTAGCGGGGATCTTCTTAGCGAGGGCTTCTGCCTCGGTGTTGCTGGGGAGGAGGATCGTGGCGTCTGCTAGGGCAGAGAAGTCGTATTTGGAGTTCAACGCGAGGCCGATGTACCTGTTCATGTCCTTCGCGTATTTCGCATATTGCGGGTAACGCTTCGTGATGGTTGCTGCCATTTTCTGTAGCTCCGCTTTTAGTTGTGCCTTAGTGGGCTTCGCCTTCGGCTTCGCTTGTGCGTTTGTTCCAGCAATGCAGAGCGCGATGAAGATGAGCCCAAGGACGGCCAGGACTCGCGGATTAGCCATTCTGATCGGTAACGCGTCGCTGCGTGAAGTTCCAATACGGAGGAAGGAAAAACTGGTGGGTTAACTTCAAAGGGTCGAGAATCGTGAATGCAGTTGATCGAGTAGTGCAGATAGGAAGTAGGGTCGAGTTGCGAAGGAGAAGGGTTGTTTGAGAAGGTCACATCTGAGGCGGATATATAGCCATGACAGACGCAAGAAGCACATTGATTACGCGGTGCGGCGAAACGACGCTGGCGACGGTTCTGTTGCTGGTCTGCAGAGGGGTATGTGCGCGGGGAGGGGAGGGGAGGGGGGCGAAGGGATGGGAGGGGAAGGTTGGGGAGGGTTGAGGAGGGGTTGAGAGAGGTGTGTGGATTTTGTAGGGAACTGTAACGGATGCGAGAGTGAACGGCGACCGACAAAGCGGCGGCAGAGGAGGTGATGAAGGTCTGGCGAAAGTGAGGTTTATCTGTTGGCGAAATTGCAGCGGCTTTTGTCGGCGAGAGTGCAGATGGTGTTCGTCTGCGATAGTGCATGCTGCGTTTAAGGTCATAGTCTGGGAAGTGTTCAGCTCCACAAACGGGACGTGATACCCTTCTAATAAGTCACCATTCTTTCGGGAAAGGGGCTTGTACGAATAGGAATTGTGCTTTGGCCGACCGCTCAAAGATGGTGCCCATCTGGCAGTGCTGATTCGTGGTTGCTTCAGTGTCATTCTATCATGTCATTGGTTCTTGATTTTGATTGGCTGTATACTCGGCTCGCCACGCCTGATCTGACAACACACCCACCAGATGTCTTCTCGCTTGCCACCCTGCGTAGGTGGAAATCACAAATGCCATGGTGGCGCCCACAGAAGAAAATCAGACAGAATGCATCTCGGCATGGCATGGTGGAGCCCTTCCATGCGCGGAAGTGATTTTGTCAAGCCGTGTTCGTCTTACCTCCCGAGACTTCCGTGATGCGAACCAATCTGCCACAAACAGGCGGCAGAACCTTGTTTCAAGCGAATGGTTACAGGATTCGAAGATTTCCGGATGAAACCAGTGCGACTGTTCACTGACACACTGACGCACTGAAACCATCGTAGGAATGTGTTCACAGACACACTGACGCAAGTTGTTGTGCCAACAACACTTCAACAGATTTCTGCTGTTTCTCCAACGCCGCTCATCTCAATTCTGCATTCACAACTCAGCATTCAGCTTTCTTGCAACTAACTTCCATTGTCAGCCTATTTTCTCGATTCTTGGTCTGCCGATGCCTAGATTGTGACATCGCACTCTCTCCCTCCTGGCTTCAATTACGCACGAAAGGCTGCTCGAATTAAAGTGGTGCAGAGTGGTCCAGTTAGACGCTCAAGATCCGCTGAAAGTCTTGGCGTAGCTTGCTCTTCTTTCTAGTAACTCCTCGGAGGAGGTAACCGATGGCGACAGCTATCATGGCGAAGGCGGCTTCCTCATGGGGCGCCCTCACTACCGCAAGCCCATCGACAAAGGCGCTCAGCTCCGCCCACAACCTCTCGCCAGCCATGAATTTCAAAACCGCTCCTCTCTCCCGCTCTCGCGGCCGACGTAACTCCGCCGTCATCGCGTCGGCTACTGACGGTGCGTCCGCAACTCGCGCGGCGAAATTGGTGAACGGGAGGGTGCAGGACGGGCCCGACCTGAGCGTGGAGGTGAACGGGCTGCAGCTGCCGAATCCGTTCGTGATCGCGTCGGGGCCGCCGGGCACCAACTACGTGGTGATGAAGAAGGCGTTCGACGAGGGATGGGGAGGCGTCATCTGCAAGACGGTGAGCTGCGAGGCCACGCTTCTGGAAACGGAAAAGAACCAAGCAATTTGAGAGACGAAAAGCAAAGGAAAAATCGGCACCGTCTCCTCCGAAGTTCGTTCAGTCCAACACGTCGCTCGTCCAAATTCGCTTTTGTCGCTTATCCCTATTTTGCTTTCGCTTCTTTCCTCGCGAACTTCTCCTCCAGGACCCCGTTCTTCTCCTGATGTTCCAAGCCTTTATTTCTCCACCCTTTCCTCCGGCCTGTCTCGGCTCCTTCGAGGTCGTCAACGCCACCGCGAGCTGCGCCGAGCCGCAGGCTCCTCAGCTCACCCGTTTTTCCTGCTCCCCTACCGTTCCCCATCTCCCCTGCTTCCTCAGCCTCCCTGCAGCTCTCCCTGGCCTCCTCCAAGGTCGTCTACGTCACCCGCGCTACGCCACGCTGCGCGCGCCGCACGAGTCGCGCTTTCCCGCAACCCCCGTTCCCCTCCCTTCCCTACTGCCCACCCCTCCCCCCTTTTCCCCTCCCCTGCAGCTCTCCCTGGCCTCCTCCAAGGTCGTCAACGTGACCCCGCGCTACGCCAAGCCATGAGCTTCGAGTGTCCCCACTCTCACCCGCACTCCCTCATGTCCCCCTTTCCCCAACCCCCCCCTCCCCCCCCTCCCCTCTCCCTCCCCCCCCCCCCCCCCCACCCCCACCTTTCAGCTCTCCCTGGACTCCTCCAAGGTGGTGAACGTCACTCCGCGCTACGCCAAGCTGCGCGCGCCGCACTCGCGCGACGTGATCGGGTGGCAGAACATCGAGCTGATCAGCGACCGCCCGTTCGAGGTGATGCTGGCGGAGCTGAAGCAGCTCAAGGCGGAGTACCCGGACCGCGTGCTCATCGCGTCCATCATGGAGGAGTTCAACAAGGACGCGTGGGAGGAGATCATTGGCCGATGCGAGGAGGTCGGAGTGGTGAGTAGATGTCCCCTTAGAGCGTGCAGTTGAGTTGCACAGCTCGTTCCAAGTGATGCTGGCGGAGCTGAAGCTGCTCACCACCCCTCTTTATCCTGCCCCCCCCCTCCCCTCCCCCCTATCCTGCCCCTCCCCTCTATCCTCCCCGCTCCCGCCCTTGGCTGACCAGGACGCGTTTGAGATCAACTTCTCGTGCCCGCACGGCATGCCGGAGCGGCGCATGGGCATGGCGATGGGGCAGGACTGCGAGCTGCTGCACGAGGTGTGCGGGTGGATCAACGAAGCCTCTAGCATTCCCGTGTGGGCCAAGATGACCCCCAACATCACCGACATCACCCAGGTACCTCCTCACATGCATGGCCGTGTGATGGGGCATGGCGATGCACCATGCCATGGTGATGGGTCATGGCGATGGGTCAGCGCTGCTTTCCGCCTCAACCAATTTATCCTTCTCGTATCAGTTCGCGCGGTTGGCTCTTGAGGCGGGGCGTGCGGGGAACCAAATCCAGCTGTACCTTGTCACTGTACACGAGCCCTTGTCACTGTACACGAGCCCTTGTCACTGTACACGAGCCCTTGTCACTGTACACGAGCCCTTGTCACTGTACACGAGCCCTTGTCACTGTACACGAGCCCTTGTCACTGTACACGAGCCCTTGTCACTGTACACGAGCCCTTGTCACTGTACACGAGCCCTTGTCACTGTACACGAGCCCTTGTCACTGTACACGAGCCCTTGTCACTGTACACGAGCCCTTGTCACTGTACACGAGCCCTTGTCACTGTACACGAGCCCTTGTCACTGTACACGAGCCCTTGTCACTGTACACGAGCCCTTGTCACTGTACACGAGCCCTTGTCACTGTACACGAGCCCTTGTCACTGTACACGAGCCCTTGTCACTGTACACGAGCCCTTGTCACTGTACACGAGCCCTTGTCACTGTACACGAGCCCTTGTCACTGTACACGAGCCCTTGTCACTGTACACGAGCCCTTGTCACTGTACACGAGCCCTTGTCACTGTTCACGAGCCCTTGTCACACCACGAGTGGCCTTTGCGCCTCTGCAGCTCACTGCTGGCTTCCCCTTGCTTCTTGAAAGCAGTGAGCCGCGCCTCTGCAGCTCCCTTCTTATCTGTACCTCCCTCTTGCTCCCCCTTTGCCATCACTAGCCAGCGCGGGTGGCCCTGGAGGCGGGGTGCGAGGGCGTGAGCGCCATCAATACCATCACGAGCGTCATGGAGGTCAACCTCAAGACGCTGAGGCCCGAGCCATGTGTGGAAGGGTGAGTGGAGAGGGTTGGCAAAGTGGTTCGAGAATGCCAAAGGACTGTTGACCATCACGAGGTCAACCTCAAGACTCTGCACCCTGAGCCTTGCATTGAGGGGTGGGTGGAGAGACTTGTGGGTTGGGTTGAAGAGTGTGGGAGAACTTTCAAAATCACAATCAACGCTATCATATGGATCGTGATTGCATCAACCTGAAGTCCTTGCAATATACGTGCGTCCACACAACACGTGTTATGGAGGTCAGCCTGAAGTCGTTGAGGCTCGAGCCATGGGTTGAGGGGTGAGTGGAGAGGGTTGGCAAACTGGTCGGAGTATTAAGTGTCTGCTGATCAATCGTCAGAACAAGCGCCATGGAGGTGCTCCTCGAGACTCTGAGGCCCGAGTCACGTGTGGAGGGGTGAGATGCGATTGCATCTCGCCCTGGGAAGAATGCTAGAATGAGTCCTTGGTTGAGTCAAGGGTATGGCAGGGCGCGGGGACAGAGGGAGAGGTGAGATGCGACTGCATGAGGTGGAGGGAGCACCATGCATGCAAGGGTGGTGGGGTACCATGCATGCAAGAGTGGTAGAGCGCCATAGGTGCAAGGGTGGTGGAGCGCCATAGGTGCAAGGGTGGTGGAGCGCCGTGCGCGCAAGGGTGGTGGAGCGCAATGCGCGCAGGTGCTCTCCTGCCCTCTTTCTCTCCTGTCTCCCCCCTCCAGCTACACCTCGCCAGGCGGTAACTCCAGTCCAGCAAGGCGGTGCAGCCCATCGCCGTGGCCGATGTTATGGAGATCACAAGGATGGAAGCTGAGAGGCAGTTGACCAGCCTCACACTCTACCAGCCTGTCTTGCCCTTTTCTCTCCTCCCAATGAACAGCTACACCACACCTGGCGGCTATTCCAGCAAGGCGGTGCGGCCGATAGCGCTGGCGCACGTGATGAAGATCGCACGGATGGAGGCGGAGCGGTTCCCCGGGCAGGGCAAGTCGCTGTCGGGGATTGGAGGGGTGGAGACGGGCGAGAACGCTGCTGAGTTCATCCTGCTGGGAGCTGACACCGTGCAGGTAGGATGACACTATGTCAGTGTGGCACCGTGGTGAGTGGATTAATAGAGTGTGACGGATGGGCTGGATTCTTGAGGTTTCCAGGGAAGGGAAAGGCACTGCCATGCATTGGAGGGGTGGAGACAGGGGAGAATTCATCCTGCTGGGAGCTGAAGCTGCAGGTGGGTATGGGAGTAATGGAATGGGCTCTGAAAAGGGTGGGCTGGGTTCTTGAGGTTTCGGGGGCAGGGAAAGTTGCTGTCGGGATTAGGAGGGGTGGAAACCGTGGAGAATGCCGCACAGTTCATTCTGCTGGGAGCTGACACCATGCAGGTGCGTGTGACAGTGGGATGGGTAGCCAGTGGATGGATGGAGTCCGGGGAGAATGCCCCAGACTTCATTCTGCTGGGTGCGGATACCGTGCAGATGGGTGTGGGATGAAGGATGGTATGGCAGCAGGCTGTGCGGCCTATTTATGAAAAGCTTCCAGGGCAGGGCGACTTGCTGTTGGGGTTTGGAGGCGTGGAGATGGGTTGGATGGCTGCTGTTACACAGTGCAGGTGGGTGGGAGGGAGACGGTGTTGCATCGTGTTTGTGCATGCCTTGCCTAGTGATGTGCGTTCATCTGCATGTGTTGCCCACGCACATCCCATGACCTGCTAGTACCGCCGCATCCGTCACACACATCCCGATACTCTGAAACATGACGTGCGTCAGATATGCAGCTGCCTGTGACTGGCTGAGTTGAAAAGCCCTTCCTTTGCACCCACTCCAAGACTGCCAGGTGTGCATGGGGGTGATGTTGCACAGCTAGGGGCCACGGCCATGTGAAGACTTTCTGTGCCTTAGATGCATGATCTCCAAACATTTCGCTCGTTTGCTCCCACACCAATGCCTGCAGGTGTGCAAAGCAGTCTTGCTGCATACCATGGCCTGGTGAAGCCTGCATGTGCTTTCACGCCCTCACCAACACCTCTCTTGCACCCACACCAACACCTGCAGGTGTGCACGGGGGTCATGCTGCACGGCTACGGGCTCGTCAAGACCCTCTGCGGTGGGCTGCAGGCGTTCATGGAGCAGCACGGCTTCACGTCCATCAGCGACTTCAAAGGGTGCGTCTAGGGGGGTGAAATGCCAGAACATGCTCTTGGTTGCGGGGTTAGTTCTGCTCTGGCGATCTATGGTGCAGCTTGGGTTTGCGTCCGTCACCGACTGTAATGGGTATGAATCATAAGGGGTAGGGGTTGGGACTTTCAATTCCGGTGGGGGTGACAGTGTTCCATTCTTCACTGTGCTTCCTCCACTTCTCCTAAGCCTTTCTTATGTCTCCCTATTCCTCTTTCTCCATCTCCCCCCCACCTAGACATGGTTAAAATGCGATGCGATGCGATATCGCATCGCATTTTGTCATATCGTGCGTGATATCGCAGCGATGCGATATCGCATCGCTGCGATATTCTGTTTCAAATTTTGAAATCGCATATCGCGATTTAGGGTGCGATTTTAAAAAATATCGCACCCTTAAATGCGATATATCGCGCGATGCGATTTAATATCGCATCACGTTTAGGGGTCGGAGGAGAAACTCAGAACGGCAAGGCTGGCTTTCCTAGGTGCGCAAGGAATTAGGTGAGTGAAGTTTGAGGGAGAATGAGATATTGTGGAACCTCTCTGATGTAAGCATGTTAGAGGGGCAGGGGTTGGATTCTGTAGATGCGGAGGAATTTAGTGCAGTTGAAGTGGTGGAAATTGGTTGGATTTACAACCAATTGAATTAGTGGGGGTCGAGATTTCAATCATCCCCCTAAATCCCTTTAACCGCACACCACCACATTCCATCCACCACCGCCCATTTCAGAATTTGAACCTCCAACTAACTCCCCTCCCTCAACCGCACTGCACCCCTTTTCAACTAGAATTTCTAACCCTTCCTCTCCAAGCTCCTCACAAACACCTCTCCTCACAAACACCTCGTCAATCACGCCAACCCCAAACAGCCGCGCGCAATTTCCGCACGCCATTACAACCAGAGAACCCTATTTTTTGCTTAGTTCAGGGCCCGTGCCCATTTCCCCCCCCCCCCCCCCCCCCTTTCTGGCGCAATTCCGCGGCGCGATATGCAGATGTATGGCGCGCGATATTTTAATATCGCGTTTTATCGCGCTGAAAAATCCACAAAAGATGCACAATATTATCGCATCGCATCGCTGTGTTTTTTTTTTTTTTTTTTTTTTTTTTTTTTTTTTTCCGAATCGCAATCGCAAAATGCGATAAAACGCGATGCGATGCGATATACCCATGTCTACCCCCACCCCACCCCACTCAATCCATCATTTCCTCCGTCACAACACACACAGACTTGGTGCACGGGAAAATCTGTTTCTAAGTCGTCTGAGAAGTTATTCCTGTCCTCTCTTCTCAGTGACTTGGTTCAGCGGCTAAGTAACATATTACTACAATTACACAGACTTGGTTCAGCGGCTAAGTAACATATTACTACAATTTCTCCCTGTCCTCAACTCCTCCCCCTCGTTCTCTCCCTCTCTCAGCCATTCCTTGCAGTGCTTCACCACCCACACTGACCTCGTCGTCATCCCCCCCACCCTATCCCCTCCCCCCTCAACCCCCCCCACCCCCATAGCCCACCCCTTACCGCTCCCTGCAGTACTTCTCCGCGCACACTGACCTCCTGCTGCGGCAGAATCTGCTTCTGAAGTGCCTCAATATTCCCCCTCTTTCCCTTATCCCCGCACTCTCCCCCTCTCCCCCCCTTCAGCCACTCACTGCAGCACTTCACCACTCACAAGGACTCAGTGCGGTGGCAGAGGGAGACGGTGGAGCAGCAGAATGCAACAAGGAGAGGGCTGCATCCCTCACCTCACTCCCCACCCCCCCCGCTTCCCCTCTTTCCACACCCTCTTGTTCTCAGCCACTCCCTGCAGTACTTCACCACTCACACGGACCTCGTGCGGCGGCAGAGGGAGGCGGTGGAGCAGCGGAATGCAGCGAGGAGAGGGCTGGCGTCCGACAAGGAGTGGACGGGCGACGGGTTTGTGCAGGAGACGGAAACCATGGTGTCCAATTAGAGTGATGCTGAGGCCGTCATGGCAACCCTTTGTACAGTCCTTGCGCGTCTTGTATTACCGAGTGCCGGATTACAAGCATCACTTTATCAGACGAATTTACTTTGAATGCGTGGCGTGGTGTTGCCATCTTTGAAAGGTCTGGGCTGCTTTGTGGTCCTTTGGCTGGCGGACTCCTCTCAGTCATCCTCAAATGGAGGGGCTGGGTTGGGGGGTGTCACACCCCCACATTCGTTCCATCAGCCATGCTTTTCCACCTTATGAGTAGGGTGCAGGGCCCTAGATTGGGTTTGAGGCATCTTGTGTTGAATTATATATTGAGTTATATAATTGTTAGGCTTGGTAGGTTACCGAACTTTACTCTAGAGGGTACAATCCCCTTCTTGTATGCCTCTCTCTTTCTATTCCAACACTCTTTTCTCTCAACTTTTCTCGTTCCTAAATCTCATGCCACTCCATGGCTCCTCCTAGCTAAACCTCATGTTAAAGTAACACTAGGCTAGGATACTAGGCAGGAACAAGGCCGCCATGAATGTGGCGGCGGGGTTTAGCTAGGAGCTGGACGAGAGTGTCGAGAGAAAAGAGAACTGGATTAGGAAGAGAGGGGAGTACAAGGAGGGGTTTGTACCCCCTACAGAAAGGTTCAGTAACAACCTACCAAGCCTATATAAATTATAACTTATATAATTTGAACACACCCCCTAGGCTTGGTAGTCACACACCCACCCAACACACCACACACCCCCTAACCTAGCACCCCCATTCCAGCCACAGGGACAGCGACACTAGGGCGGTCGACCCCACGGTGCGTGAGGCGGCGACGTCGACCGCAGGGGCTGCGGCGGCGACGGCGGCAGCGGCGGCAGTGTCGACAGCGGCGGCGGCGGTGGCGTGCGGCTGCGTGGCCCCGACGCAAGCGGCGACAGCGGCGGCGGCGGCGGCTTCGACAACAGCGGCGGCGGCGGCGGCACCCGCACCTCTCGGTGACGTGGCCAGACCCCGCGAGGGTGGGACGGCCGGCGGGAATCAGCCGTCAGCTGCGGCAAGATACAGGACACAGGGGAAGGGGGGGCGGGGCGTGGTCCAGCCTCACGCTTGAGGCTGGCGTGCGGGCAGCAGGTGTGGCGGCGCCATGAACGTCGCGCGGCAAGCTGCCGTCCGACGACGCTGCCACGGCAGCATTACGACGCCGACACATCGCGGCGTCGATGCAGCGGTGGGACGTCGCCGCTGCGATGGTAAGCACGGCGCCGTCACAGCAGTGTGGCGTCGACGCCACGCTTCACGACGCGACGGCACGGCAGGAACGGGCATGGTCGCCACGGCGGCACGGCAGGAAGTCGGAAGGCAGTAAACGAGAACACAGCGGAAGCACGGAGGGGAGCAGGCCCAGGAAGGACGTCCTGCTCTCGATACCATGTTAAAGTAACACTAGGCTAGGATACTAGGCAGGAACAAGGCCGCCATGAATGTGGCGGCGGGGTTTAGCTAGGAGCTGGACGAGAGTGTCGAGAGAAAAGAGAACTGGATTAGGAAGAGAGGGGAGTACAAGGAGGGGTTTGTACCCCCTACAGAAAGGTTCAGTAACAACCTACCAAGCCTATATAAATTATAACTTATATAATTTGAACACCTCATGCTTTCCTAAACCCTTTCCTAGCTAAGCTAGCCTTCTAACATCCTGATCCATCAGCATTCTCCCTGCAGAAAAATCTGAATTTTCAGGGTCCCCTAAAAAATAAAATCATGAGCCATCAGAATTACTTTTTTTTTTTCTTGAAATAAAAAAGTTATGAATTACATGGTACAGTTTATGAGTTATGTGCAGGCCCTCAGATTGGTTTTAGGGAGGCTGATTGCTCAGGGTCGCCCATGTGAGAGCCCATGTTTTTCAGGGTCGGGTTTTTGGCGTGGCATGTTTTTTCAGGCCAATTGTTTTTTTTAGTCTGACTTATCAGGCCTACATTTTTGTAGTTTCTGATTCTTAGGTCGGATCGGACTTCACTGCGTACAATTCTTCTCGTCAGATTCCTGCATGATTTTAACTAAGGACCAATCAACCCCCTCACACCTCCTCCAGCTCGCCTCGAAGTTGCGTGTTTCTGGTTGCGTGATTCTGGTCAAGGACCAATCACGCCCCCCACACCTGTTCTAGCTCGCCTTGAAGTTCCGTGATTGTGGTCAAGGACCAATCACGCCCCTCACACCTGCTCTAGCTCGCCTCGAACTTGCGTCATTTTTTTGTCAAGGACCAATCATGCCCCTCACACCTGCCCCACCTTGCCTCGAACTTGCGTGATTCTGGTCAAGGACCAGTCATGCCCCTCACACGTGCTCAAGCTCGCCTTGGCAGATAAGATTCAGATTCAGGGCGAATTTCGAGTAAGGCTGATTCGTCAGGCTCGGTAAAACAAGAACATACTATTTTTCAGGCCTTAGAAAATGGGAACACATAAATTTCAGGTTTGACAAAAATCAAAACCTGAAAAATCAGGGTATGCCCTAGAAAACACCCTGATATACAGGCTTTCAGGCCTTTTTGGCCTGACTTCTGAGGCCCTGGTTATGTGCGTGGTGTGCGCATTTGTGGATTCAAGTCGTGATTGTTGGGGGTGGTGGGAATTCGTAGCGAATTCGCGCGTGAGTGGGGCGGCATTGGGGGGTGTGCAGGAAACGACAGCTGGTGGGGGGGAGGGGCTGGGTAGGGGGGGAGGCGACGAGATTGCTGGGGCGTGAGAGGGGGGGAGGGTGTTAAGATGAGGTAGCTAGCTAGGAAGCCATGGAAATGGCGTGAGAGGTTTTAGCTAGGAGAAGAATGTCGAGAGAGGAGGTGAGACTAGGAAGAGGGAGGAATACAAGGAGGGAGTTGTACCCTCTACAGTAGAGTTCGGTAACCTACCAAGCCTACAAATTATATAACACAATATATAATTTAACACACCCCCTAGGCTTGGTAGTCACTGAAATAAATCGACAGGTGTTGTAGTAAACTAAGTATAAAACTATCAACATGAACACTTGGCAAATCCTCAAGTGTTGGTCCAGGATCTTTGCTGGAATGGTACACTAGTAAGACAGCGGAAGTCTTGTAAAATGTAAAGGTCAAAGTTGAATAACCTGAGTACGTGAACTTGTGAGTAATAAAAGTTTATCATAGTTTATCACACAGTTATCATAGTTTATCACACAGTTTATCATAGTTTATCACGCCAAAGTTGCCATGGCAGCACGACACGGCCGCAACGGCGGCGCAGAAGTAACGAGAAGGGGAGGGGGGGATACGCGGCGGAAGCGTGAGGAGGCGGCCCAGCAAGGCGGACCGCCGGCTCTGAAACCATGTTAAGATGAGGTAGCTAGCTAGGAAGCCATGGAAATGGCGTGAGAGGTTTTAGCTAGGAGAAGAATGTCGAGAGAGAAGAGGTGAGACTAGGAAGAGAGAGGAATACAAGGAGGGAGTTGTACCCTCTACAGTAGAGTTCGGTAACCTACCAAGCCTACGAATTATATAACACAATATATAATTTAACAAAAGGAATCTCTTCCCTCGCAGAGCCCCAAGGCAGCCACACATCGAGCAAATTTGGCCAAGGGCCAGCAATTGCCCTCACACAACCCTTAGCAATGTTGTGATATATGAATTTTTGCATTCCTAAGCCCGAGTGCTGACGCCAGCAAAGCATCGCGGGTCTCACGGATGACGTCAGCATACCGCTTTAGTTACGCGATTAGGCTTAACGAGTCGTTTCAGTCACGCGAACAGTCGCGACCCTATAGTATGAGGAATAGGTCGCATAGCGCGCAACTAGCCGAACAGGTACTTTTCCTAGAACTATAAATCCTTGTAATGCCTTTCTATTATTAACCTTGACTTTCCACAGAATGATTTGCTCAGGTTATTCAACCTTCGACTACCCACAAGTTTATGTGCTCATGTTCACTCTTATAAGACTTCCGCTGTCTTACTAGTCACCATTCAAGAAGTACGATCCTTACAAGTACTATCGAGTAGTAGAGATACTACTATACCCAAGACTTGACTCAAGCAGATTCTATACTTAGTCTCGTGCAAGTCGAGCACCACCTTTCGAATTCTTTCAAGCAACATACATCGAGGCCAATATATGGCGAAGGGCTGATCGCCTCCCTCACACGATCTCCAACATACAGCGCGGAAAGGCACTCTGAGTGTCACAGGATCGAATGTCTCGAGGAAAGGTTGCACTAACGATCAGTACAAGGCGCTTTTATACTTCCAAAGTACATCAGGTAACCAGGTTTATCTTATCCTAAGGGAATAGACCCTTCTAGAAGATAGAATCACTCTGCGTATAGCCACGCGAAGCTATTGGCTTTAAGGGATTACGGCAGGATTACGCTAGATATAGCGCACCAGTACATCCCAAGCCTGGTCGGTGATATAACTATAATAGCAGGATAAACCAAAGGTGAATGGAAAATGGAGAAGAGGAAACCAAATGAGATGAGATAAAAAGAGAAATGAAAATAGGAAAAAGGGACAAGTGGTGTAACGGGGTCGTACTCTCACACTGAGCCAGCCCCCCCAAAAAAAAATCAAAAATATGAAGGGCCTTCAGCCAAAATTTCGGCACTCTGAAACGTCAGAGAGCTGAAGGATGCTCAAAGAATGATATGCATTCATAAAATTGTGAAACACTCCACTGTAGCACGCTACGTCTTATAGAGGACGCAAACATAGTAAATAAGAGGTTGACACGAACAACCATGGATAGAACTATGTGTCATCAAGTCACCAGTCCTAACCACTGGGACAAGAAGGGATGTCATCAGGAGGGTTAGGCTCCATATATCCACCTTCCCCAAGGAGAGCCTCCCCGGTACCCTCCCTAGAGAGAGAGAGGATCGACAGGGTTATCCCAGTGCCACGACACTATGCACCACGCGAACAGTCACATCACCCTAGTGTTACGCGAAAAGATACAAAGTGAAGAGTCACATGTAAAGGTACGTTGAGTAGGTACTTTCAGTTATTATGATTAGCGTTGTGTCTCTTATTACAATCATCCTTGTCAACTGGGTTTAATCCGTACTGATAAAGTATACTCGAAAGATTTTACTTATGCATTCCTTATATAACACTTAGAGTGTACTAGTAGCGCGATACCTCATACGGAAGGATAAGCGTGATGACATCAGCAGTTGCGAGTCAACACATGAACAGTAGGTTAATACGCTTAGTCACTCGAAGGGTCACGCCACTCTTAGTCACACGAACAGTCACTAGTCATGTCACGCGAATAGTCGCGATACACCACGAACGGTTACATCCCAAATAGGTACTTCTTAGACTATTAATATGCCTGCTCGTGCAAAATGCCCCGAAGAAAAGATGTCAAGAAGTCGAGAGAGTGCAAATCGTAGTCACGCTGTGCT